AGAGGTAGCAAGTTGGTTCCTGCAACAAGGCCACCAAGCTTAGTCAGTAATCAGAGTTATATCAAAGGTAGGGAGAAAGCAAGCACAGAAGCGAGTAAGGGGAACAAGCAATAGCAAAAACGGACAAGGAACTAACTCTGGTGCAAACGAACATACCTTGGGATTTCGAGTCGGAGATCCGGTGAAAGACGGGGTGGATGATGGCGGATGGATGGCAGAAACCCAAGGACGCATTCGCTTAGACTTCAGCAGCACCACGTGACTCCTCTTCGACTTCAGCAGCTCCACGCACGCGACTTCTCTTCGATTTCAGCAGCACCAGTTGAGTTCGTTTCGACTCCAAGGGAGCATGCGAGCAACTCCAGAGGTAGCAAGTTGGTCTCCTGCAACAAGGCCACCAAGCTTGATTAGAAATCAGAGTTATATGGTAAAGGCAGGGAGAAAGCAAGCGCGGAAGCGAGAAAGGAGATAAAGCAGTAGCAAAAACGGACAAGGAACTAACTCTGGTGCAAACGAACATACCTTGGAATTCGAGTTGGAGATCCGGTGAAAGGCGGGGTGGATGATGGCGGATGGATGGCAGAAACCCAAGGACGCATTCGCTTAGACTTCAGCAGCACCACGTGACTCCTCTTCGACTTCAGCAGCTCCACGCACGCGACTTCTCTTCGACTTCAGCAGCACCAGTTGAGTTCGTTTCGACTCCAAGGGAGCATGCGTGCAACTCCAGAGGTAGCAAGTTTGGTTCCTGCAACAAGGCCACCAAGCTTAGTCAGTAATCAGAGTTATATCAAAGGTAGGGAGAAAGCAAGCACAGAAGCGAGTAAAGGGAACAAGCAATAGCAAAAACTGACAAGGAACTAACTCTGGTGCAAACGAGCATACCTTGGGATTTCGAGTCGGAGATCCGGTGAAAGACGGGGTGGATGATGGCGGATGGATGGCAGAAACCCAAGGACGCATTCGCTTAGACTTCAGCAGCACCACGTGACTCCTCTTCGACTTCAGCAGCTCCACGCACGCGACTTCTCTTCGACTTCAGCAGCACCAGTTGAGTTCGTTTGGACTCCAAGGGAGCATGCGTGCAACTCCAGAGGTAGCAAGTTGGTCTCCTGCAACAAGGCCACCAAGCTTGATTAGAAATCAGAGTTATGGTAAAGGCAGGGAGAAATCAAGCACGGAAGCGAGAAAGGAGATAAAGCAGTAGCAAAAACTGACAAGGAACTAACTCTGGTGCAAACGAGCATACCTTGGGATTCGAGTCGGAGATCCGGTGAAAGGCGGGGTGGATGATGGCGGATGGATGGCAGAAACCCAAGGACGCATTCGCTTAGACTTCAGCAGCACCACGTGACTCCTCTTCGACTTCGCAGCTCCACGCACGCGACTTCTCTTCGACTTCAGCAGCACCAGTTGAGTTCGTTTGGACTCCAAGGGAGCATGCGTGCAACTCCAGAGGTAGCAAGTTGGTTTCCTGCAACAAGGCCACCAAGCTTGATTAGAAATCAGAGTTATGGTAAAGGCAGGGAGAAAGCAAGCACGGAAGCGAGAAAGGAGATACAGCAGTAGCAAAAACGGACAAGGAACTAACTCTGGTGCAAACGAACATACCTTGGGATTTCGAGTCGGAGATCCGGTGAAAGGCGGGGTGGATGATGGCGGATGGATGGCAGAAACCCAAGGACGCATTCGTTTAGACTTCAGCAGCACCACGTGACTCCTCTTCGACTTCAGCAGCTCCACGCACGCGACTTCTCTTCGACTTCAGCAGCACCAGTTGAGTTCGTTTCGACTCCAAGGGAGCATGCGTGCAACTCCAGAGGTAGCGAGTTTGGTTCCTGCAACAAGGCCACCAAGCTTAGTTAGAAAGCAGAGTTATATGGTAAAGGCAGGGAGAAAGCAAGCACGGAAGCGAGAAAGGAGATAAAGCAGTAGCAAAAACTGACAAGGAACTAACTCTGGTGCAAACGAGCATACCTTGGGAATTCGAGTTGGAGATCCGGTGAAAGACAGGGTGGATGATGGCGGATGGATGGAGGAAACCCAAGGAAGCCTTGTTGAGGCAGCCCATGAGATCGTTTCAGATCCAGCAGCCCCGTCATCTCTGAGTACTTCTTCACTGGGGGATGGGCGAAAAGACAAAAGAAAATAAGTTAGAGGCCAATACATACAGATGCGAGGAAAACAAAAAACAAGTGTAAACCGAAAGAACGAAACGATTGCAAAAAATGACAATGAAGTGAATGAAAAATGGAAACATCCATGATTCTCCGAGTGGCCACAGCTCGCAGAGGGAGGATCTAACTGCTACCCGAACCCGAACCCAAACCGCGGAGGATCATCTGCTCGCTGCGACCATCATTGAATCAGAGGGACGGTGCATGAATGGCGTGCATGTGAGAAAAAAGCAGCATTAAGCGGAAAAAAACATAAGCAACGTGAAGAAAGGAACGTGACTTCCCAGTTGCGGTCGGTGGTGGAATCGAGAGCAGATCCGCCTTCATGTCACGCTCATCACCGCCTTCGCACACCCTCCATTGATGGTTCGCGTCCACAAGAAGAAATAGTGGAGGAGTTGCCCGCAGTGCTGGAAGAGAAGACTCCAAATCCGAGTGCTAGAAGAGAAGACTTCGAGTGCTAAGCTTAAAATGACCACATCTGCTGTACTACTATCAAGTTTGGCTCAATCACAAGGATGAGCTTGAAAGGATGTTTGAACGGGGTCATGGTTTGGGAAAAGTGGTGGTGGTTCGGATCCCAATCTGTATCTTCTTTGCCGCGCATTTTTCGAAATAAAAACGGTCCGGATTGGATGAACGGCCGAGCGACTGTCACTGCTTGCATTTTCATGCTTCATTCCAGGTTTGGAAGAGAGTGGATCTGAAGGTTGAGGTTCGGGGAAACACAACCTAACAGGTTGTGGGTCGGATCCTAATCTGTTGCGGCACCAAATTTAACCGCGCATCGATCAAACTCTGAGAAGGAGCCGCTAACCTGCCATGGTAGCCGCTAAATCTCGCAGGTTGCTTTCCTCTGTGCTTGTGTGTGGGGTCAGCTTGAGCAAACCCTAGCTGATCCCGGCGGGAAGAGGTGGGTGCAGCAGAAGTTGGAACAGTGTCAGAGACAATGAACTGAAGGGGAGTGCCCTGCCCTAGTGTTGACCGAAGGTGGTGGTCCCCACCCCGCCCCACCCCCCACGGGAATTGGCGGTGACAGTCTTAGTGTAAATTTTCAAGGTGTGCCGGAGGAAGGGCTAATCACTAAATTGTTCACACCCAGTGTGTGAATGTACAGCATTTCCTGCAGGTCATCATCCACACGCACACCCCCGCACACCCCCGCACCCCAAGACAATGCTCGTGATTGTGGTACTGTACAGTAACTGGTTGACCAGTCGAGAGGAAAAGGCTGCCCAAGAACACCTCGGAGTCTCTGGAAGCTTAACTTGAAGAACGCGGGTTCTGGTCTGGATGGTTTGCCTCGTTTGCAGCCTCTCCAGAGAATCCGTGAACGACAACTCAGGGGACTGTGTCAGCGGTGGTCCCCACCCCACGAATTTCGATTCGCAGTGAATCACGCGATGAAATTTCGAGCTATGCCCGAGTAAAGGGCTGATGAACTGAAATTGATTCTACGCAAAAACACCCCCAATAACACCCCATGACAGCATCCATGATTCTTCTAAGGGCGTGTCCCATGAGTTCGTTTTGGGGAAAATCCTTATTTTTACGTAAACTGCGAGTCAGCAAAAGAGTGTACACTCTGACGGAAAAAAAACGGAATGTGTCAGCACCAAGCAAAACGGAATTGCACCAGGCGGACGCTTAGTCCCGCCCACACAAAAAACGTCATGCGATTCACAATTGACAGAATCCGCGAGCGGTAACCCGCCCCAGTTGCGAATCGAATGTGGAATTTTGGTGCTGGGGCGCGACTCGGTACCCCTGGCGACGTTCGTTGGGTGAATTCGGAGTTTACGGTAACCCCTCACGCGGACCCGTTCGAGGTGATCGCACGTACGTAGGTTCTCTTTCTAAACGCGTTCAAAACGAACACGTCGACGTGGGAAATGCGTCAATTGTCATGCGTCAATTAAGACGCATGTATACAGTACAGGGTTACAATCGCAAAATAGGGTAACAAACATGAACATGAACTGTAAACGAACTCGTGGGACACGCCCTAATTCGTGTCTACGTTGCCCACAAACAGGCCTCGGGAGTATCTTGATTTGCGGCGAAGGCGGGTTCCGGCTGGTTGCGGCGTTTCAGTCCCTCGAGACGCGAAGAATGTAACCCAGACTGGCGAAGTGCAGATGAGAGACGATAAAGATTGCGCGGGAGTGTTCTTTCTCGCGATGACTGTAACCCGTAACAGATTGCTCAATCCCTGGCGCGACGCGGCAGACAACAACATTCGGCGGGTACAACGGTTTCTGAAATACGGTTTGCATTCCACGTCGACATGATGGATTCAACGCAAGTCGGGAAACGCATTCGGGCGTGATTGAGCTGTGACTGTGCGGTAACATGAGTTGATTGAGAGTCTCGGCTTTGATGTTATAACGAAGCTGTGAGACCTCCGCACACTCCAAACACTTTACCTGTTTCAATGTGCACTCAACCAAGTAGCATGCCAACTTACTATGTACTCAAAACAAAAAAATGTATGCTGTTGATTATTCTGAAGCTCATCAATCTTCAGACCACACTTGGGATTGACTTGCATGCTGAGGTTTCAATAAAGTAGATGTCCTTGTGCCCAAGTCTCACATACATAACTTGATCATCATCCCCCTATGGTCAACATGACATTGTGAGCTCTAAACAGAGACTCGGGTCGAGTGTCCAAGGCAGTGAGCCTAATTGCGGCGCTCACCTGGCATTATTGCAGATTCCATGTGCATATCTGGTATTGTACCATCCATCCATCCGCTACACGTCTTGGCCGAAGAGAAATCGGCCAAACAAGTAACACAACAATGCCGTTTCTAAGAATATTTACATGCAAGCATCAAGATAAGCGTACGAGTGTGCGCGGGTGTACTCCAGGAGACTACTGTATGTGCGATCTGCCACGCCAATAAAGAGCGCCTCTGTATCGGGGGAAAACGATATCCCCGCAATCTCGCCGAATATGTCAATCTCCTGTGCTCGGGTGAACCCGCTACTGGTGTCAAAGACATGCACGAAGTCTGCTGGCTCAGCCATGGCCATGAACCTGGGCGGAAGGGGAGTGATGGATAGGAGGGGGGGAGGGATTGCAAGTTGATGTGCCATGTGAACCCCCTGCTCGGGTCAAAGACATGCGCGAAAACTGCTGGCTCAGCCATCGCCATGAATCTGGGTGAGGAGTGGTGGGGGGAGGGAGGGAGGGAGGGAGGGAGGGATTTCGAGTTGATGTGCCATGTGCAAGCATGTGGTGACGGAAGGGGGCTAGGGAGTGAGGGAGGCTACTCGTGTCAAAGACATGCACGAAGTCTGCTGGCTCAGCCATGGCCATGAACCTGGGGGAGGAATGGGTTTGGGGAGGGAGGGAGGGAGCGATTTCGAGTTGATGTGCCATGTGCAAGCATGCGATGAGGGAAATAGGCGATGTGTCCTGTGCAAGCACGTTGCGAGGGGAGGGAGGGAGAAGGGAGGGAGGGAGGGATTTCGAGTTGATGTGACATGTCACGAGCATGTGGTGTTGAGGACAGAAAGCTGCTCGTACAGAAGACATGCACCAGGTGACCCTGGGGGAGGGAGAGCAGGGAGTGACATGTCAGATGGGAATATACATGCCATGAAACATGCGGAAGTGTACAATCCGTGAACCAAGAACCTGCCATTGCCTACCCCCCCCCTCCTCCAACACCCCCCCCCTCGCTTCCCCCTTTCCTCCACCACACACACTCACCTGCCATCGCTATTGAATCTGAGCGACCGAATGGCTCCCAGTCGCCCCTTGAGGGTGAACAGGGAAGTGTCAAGTCGCCTCCAGTCCCACACACGGCACGTGTTGTCCTGGTTGCCGCACAACCATGCACACAGCCACCCGCCACTGCCTATTCCCCTCCCTCCCCCCGCAACGAGAACCCACCTGCCATCGCTGGTGAATCTGAGCGACCGAATGGCCCCCAAGCGCCCCTTGAGCGTGAACAGGGAGGAGTCAAGTCGCCGGCGGTCCCACACTCGGCACGTGGTGTCCTGGTTGCCCGTGGCAAAGAGGTTGCCGCCCGGGTGCCAGGCTGTAGCGAAGGAGTAGTCCACGTGGCCCTGCATGCGCGCTACAACCTGTGAGGGCAGTGAGTGGTTTGACATGCAGGGGTGGGGACATGGGGGATATGGGGAGGTATGGGGGGGATATGGGGGGTATGGGGGGGATATGGGGGGGTATGGGGGTTGTGTTGTGTGGGGGGATGAGGCACGTGAGACAGGGGAGAGGCAGAGAGGGTGAGAGCTGTGCGGGGCAGAGGCAGAGGATGAAACACGTGGACAGGTGAAGGACGAAAATAACTTCATTCAAAGGCGAGGCACACCCGGCAAGAGTCAGCTGAGGTGTGGACGGGCGGGGGTGGAGTGAGCAGGGAGGAGAGGGAGGAGAGGAAGAGCAACGGTGGTGCGGGCAGGGAGGGGAGCGGGAAACGGAGTGAGCAGGGAGGCGTGAGAGAGGAGGGTGTGGAATGAGCAGGGGGGGGCGAGGGCGAGAGGAGCAGACCTTGCCCGAGGTGAGGTTGAGTAGCAATGCTTCGGGGTCGTCCCCCACCACTGACACGAGCGTGCTGTCCGGTGCCACTGCCGTGTGCTGGTGACGGGGAGGGGGGAAGGACAAGAGGGAGAAAGAGACGAGAGAGTGATGCATCACGGACAAGAGGGGATGCACCAGGGGATGCCTCGGGGTCGTTCCCCGCCACTGACACGAGCGTGCTGTCCGGTGCCACTGCCGTGTGCTGATGGGCAATGGGAGAGGGGGGGGGCGCGGGATGGAGGAGGGAGAACGAGAGGTGAGAGGTGAGAGATGGACGGAGAGAGGTGGGAGATGAGAGCAGTAGATGAGCAGCTGAGAGGGACATGCGAGACAAAGATGAGTGGGCGGGGTTCACATTGACGGGCCAGGGGAAGGCGGGGCTCACATTGACGGGCCAGGGGAAGGCGGGGCTCACATTGACGGGCCAGGGGAAGGCGGGCTCACATTGACGGGCCAGGGGAAGGCGGGGCTCGCATTGACGGGCCAGGGGAAGGCGGGGCTCACATTGACGGGCCAGGGGAAGGCGTGGCGGGAGAGGATGGAGAAGGTGGCGACGTCGAAGTCCCTCACCACACAGTCGTTGTTGGATGTGAGCACGCTCAGTGCTCCACTGCGGGCGAGGGAGAGGGGAGGGGCGGCAGAGAGACGGGAGAGAGAGGACAGAAAGCCAAGAATGGCATGTTGAATATGAAGATCTCAACAGTGTTCGTGATGGCACTCTCATCCCCGGATAACCTTTGACGGGCCTCAAAACCCCTCCCTCCGCACCTCTTAGCTCTGAAGATCTCAACAGCGTTCGTGATGGCACTCTGATCCCGGGATACCCGCCCTGTGAACGCCACTCCTGCTTCCGACCCCGAGCCTGCGTCCGCTTCCGAGCCTGTGCCGAGCCTGGTGCAGACCATCTCCCCGTGGAAGCCCCCTGCTACGAGCAGCCCGTGTCTGACGCACATGGTGCTCACTTGCACCCGATCCACCGCCTCCCACACCCCCTCCTGCTGCTGCTGCTGCTGCTGCTGCTGCTGCTGTTGAGAAAGCGCCAGTCCCCCTGCTTCTCTCCCCAGCACCGCTCTGCCCTCCTCTGTACCGCTGCTACTGCTGTTGCTTCTCCCAGCACCAGCGGAGCCTGCAGCGGAAGGCATGGCCCCCGTGTAAATCGCCCGCGCAGAAGGCTCCAGCTGCACTCCGCTGCGCTGATCCCCCCTGCCTACTGCACCCCCCGCGCCCCCCGCTCCCCCTGCGCCCCGCGCGCCAGCTGTGGGCGCGTGGGCGTGAGGGGGGGCGTGGCGCCTGGCGACGAGGGGGTTTCCGAGGTCCAGGACCGGGGTGGACTTGCGCGTGAGCGGGGAGAAGTGGTTGATGACGTGGTGGTGCAGCGAGTACACGTCATGCGCTGACGTGGCCCACACGAGGTTGCGCAGCTGGAAGTGCACGATGGTGGACTTGACTGCCCGCGTGTTGTGCGTGAACTCGTAGAGGTTGCTGCCTGTCGTTACCTGCTGCACTTCCTGGGAGTTCACAGGCAAGGGGGGGGGAGGTAAGGCCGGAACGAAGGAGCCAGAGGGGAGGGAGACGGGAAGGGGGGAGGGGGGAACGGGGAAAGAAGAGAGGCAAATTGAGGCAAATTGACTTGGCCTGGCCATATCGTGGACGGTGGAGGGTGAGGCAAGATGCGGGTAAGGCAGGCAGACGAGGGGTTGAGAAGAGAACGGGGCTGGGGAGGGAGAAGGAGGAGGGAGACGGGAGGGAAGAGAAGAGGTGCAAAACGAGGAGGAGATGAATGAAACGGACAAGTATGTGACGCATGTGCGCGCAGCTTGCCACGTTTACGCGCACATTAACACCCGCGCGCGCACCTTATCAACAACATCCAACGAGACGTCGAGGTTCTTGTAGTTCTTGTACTGCTGCAGCCGCATGGCGCGGTACTTCTCCCGACTCAAGTGCAGCCGCTCCCACGGGATCCCCTGAATGTCCCGCCCCCGCCGCACCTGCCGCGCGCTCACGTCCTCCGGGCCTTCCAGCTGGCATCAGGGTGAAACAGGGTGCGACAGGAGACAATGGGAGGTGGGGTGTGATGGGCAACAGGACGCGCGTCGACGGGGAATGGCGTCGACGGGGGCTGGCGACGAGACTGACGGAATTTGTGATCGAGAAGGCGGCTGAATGAGATTACACCCGTAAATGCGTAATCCTAAATACATGCCGCTCGCACGGTAACACGCATAGGGAGCATGCAACGAACATGCATTCAGCATGTAACGAGGCGATGAGCACGCCACGAAACGGTCAAACGACGATCCGGAAACGTACGAGATCATTATCGTCGTCGGAGTTGTCTTGGAACGATCGGGAACCGCCCCGCTGAGCGCCTCGTCGGCGCCATGAGAATCCGAAGTCGTCGTCACCGAGAACGCTCTCCTCGTCGTCGTCGTCGTCGTCGCCGTCGCTCGCTGCAAGCGATTCGTCCGTGTCGTAATACACCTGCCGCTGCTCCGGATCGCCACCGGCGGGACCCGCGTCGTAGTAAACTCGGCGCTGATGTGTACGAGTATAGCCGGCATTCGTGTTCTCATGCTGCTCCGTGTAGCGATAGTCGGGGTTCGTGTTCTCGAGCTGTTCCGTGCGGCGATAGTCGCCGTCCGTGTCCTCCTGCTGTTCCGTGTAGCGATAGTCGGCGTCTGTGACTTCGTGCTGCTCCGCCATGTCCGTATCGCTCGCATCGCCCATCAGCTGATGCCAGAGAGGGTACGGAGAATACAGCGCGGTAAAAAAAGACGGAGTGGAAAAGAGATGACGACAAACGCGTAACAAGATTCACTTGAGCTCAAGAAAGGAAGAGAGAATGACATGATGCACGATATGATAGAAAACGTCGCACAGTTGTATGGAAACTAGCAAATAAAACATTGATAGCCATAAGAGCCAGCGGAATGCACCAACCTCGAAGTCATCCATCTCAGGCATCACTCCGTCTATTAGCCTCCCTCTTGGATTCCACAATATTGCACACAACCAGAGATAAGACGGGCCGAGATTGAAGAGTCAGGCCTTGCGCCGAACTAATATTCTCGACAGCTGAGAGAACTACGGGACCCTTCAGCGGCTTTCCTGGCTAAGGGGGCTTCCGTTTGTGAATGCTTCCGTCAATTCTCTACGTTATCTCCTAGAAGCTGCAATTTTGGCTTGGGATGCTCACTGCTCAGATGCTCGAAACTCCACTTAACCGTCTTGAAAGCTAAACATGAACATTCAAACGCGAAATGCAACTCTCTGAACCCCACAACACATGGCCTCATGAGAAATCTAGGTATGGTCCGTGTCACTGTAGCACGGCACAACAGCAGAACATATGGGGAAAGCAGTGTGCAGGAAGGGAATGACGGAAGGGACGGGACGGACGGACAGGACGGAGAGAGGCATCCATGCGATGTTCTTTGTCGCACATAGGGCATTGTCAGAAAAGAGACCCTGGGCGAGCGAGAAGTTGTTCGCATCGCAGCACCCTGGGCCATGCGACGAGACCGTTTGTCGCTGGCGAATGAAATCACGGTTCATCGAGAAATGAATTTTCATCGGACGGCTTCAGTCTGCTCTTCTGGGATCTTCAATGCTCTCGCTGGGTGGCGTTGTCGTATTGTCGAACTGCAAATTCGCATCCGTCGCATTGGCCCTTCATCCTTGTGCCGAAGCTACACCTTTCAATGCAACGTAACACATTGCTAATTCAGTACTAAACAATTTATTCGAGCATCTACAAACGAGAACGCGCACCTCGATAACTCGAGCATCTTGGGAACATCATCCATCACCCATGAGATGGCTGTCCTCAATCAAGCTCCACGCTGCATGCCTTGATATCAAGCATTTCAGGCTACATCATTTCAGGCATTTCAGGACTACAGCATTTCAGGCACAGGTTCAGGGCAGGACGACGAGGCTGACAAGCTCCTCTCCTGCTCTTCTCCTTTATGTCATTCATGCGGCGGATTCATTTGATCGCATTTTCTACCTTCATTGGTTTGATATCAGGGCCGATTCCCCGTGCTTTCGTCAGATTGTCAGAATGCCTAGTCGTAGTAGAAAGAAGCTCAAGGAGAAAGACATATCTCCCAATCATTCCATGTCGCCTCGTCAGTTCGCCGCGTTGACAGCCGTATGCGACACGCTCGTATCCTCCATGCCGGTTCCGACTGACTCGGACGACCCGTACTTTCAGCTCGTCGGGAAGCGAAAGGAAGGCGCGCAGTCGGATAGCCGGTGGAGCGAGTTTTACGGCGAGCCGCGGAAGGAGGCCATCACGGCGTATTTCGCGGAATCCGCGTCTAGCCTCGGCATCGTCGACAAGGTTCGTCGTCGCGTTGCTAGGATCCTCGATTCCTCGCGCTCTCGCCTCTCGTTCGTTCAGCATTCTGACTCAACGGTCATCCGTCTGGTCCTCCTCCGCATCCTCCCCTCGTTCGACCCTGCAACTTGCACAAGAATAACGGCAAATCGCGCGCTACCATACTTTCCATCTCTTGCCTATTCGTCTCCGTCGCCGTGTCTGCTCCCCTCCCGTGCAGGTGGCCGCGGCAATGCAACAATACCAGAAGCCGCTAGCGCTTAACGTCTTTGCACGGTGTTGTGGCTCCTCTCCACTCACCTTTCTATAGACATCTCACCTCTGTCTCTGCTCCCCTCCTGATCAGGTGGCCGTGACAATGCAGCAGTGCCTGAAATCCCTGCCTCTGAGCGTCTTCAGCACGGTCTTATGGCTGCTCTCCACTCGCCTTCCTGAATACATCTCATATTTCGCCGCCTTTGCCCCCCCTTCGTTCAGGTGGCCACGACAATGCAGCAGTGCGTGAAGCCATTGCCTCTGGTCGTCTTTGGCACGGTGCTGTGGCTCCTCTCTACTCGCCTGGGCACGCTCCTGCTGGCTGGCCGCAGGGCATTCACCCGGCAACCGCCGTTCGTGCAGCCCTTCGCGAAGCTGTCGCCCCAGGCTCGCGAGGCCGTGCTGCTGCGGTGGTCCGTGAGCAGCAACTTCCTGCTGCGCACCGTGTTCAAGGTGGGGAGTAGGGAGGGGGATAAGGGTGTGGGGGAGCTGGTAACGAAGGCTGACGCCGCAGGCTCGCGAGCGGTGGTCCGTGAGCAGCAACTTCCTGCTGCGCACCGTGTTCAAGGTGGGGATCAGGGAGGGGAATAAGGGTGTGGGGGAGCTGGTAACGAAAGGGGGGGGGAGGAAGGGTGTGATAGGTGATGGCGGATGGGGGAGAAAGCAGCTTCGTGCGATTGTCCCTCACTCTGACATGCTGGCATTGCTATGCCTTTTGGTCCCTCCCGTGTCTCCCACGTCTTCCCTTGCCCCTCACAGACGTTCCGCAGCTTCACGCTCTTCCATGTGGGCGCTCAGGTGAGCCTCTCCCTTCTATCCTTTCCATGACCTCGTCTCTATTCCACCCCTCCCTTCGCCCCTCCCCTCCCTTGTGCCACCCTCCTCACCCCTCCCTCTTCATAAACCCCCCGTGTTCAACAAAAGAGCCCGCTCTTGCTGTAATCTATGCTTGAGTAGTGCGAATTCATTGCACCCCTTGCATACAGCCCATGCATGCAACCCATGCATGCACCCCACGCATACCATCCATCCCATGCACCCCGTGCACCACAGCGTGAGGGCTCTGGCGATAACATGCAGTGGCGCGCCATGGGGTACTGTGGACCGGATCCCAACATGCTGGCTGCTGGGAAGCAACGCAAATACACCAGCAGCAGCAGCCGAGACAGCTCAGCTGCTTGTGATCCTGACGTGGCACAGCGGCCAGCTCAACGTGCTGACGCGGCACAGCGTCCAGCTCAGCGATCCGACAATGGCGAGGGGGAAACTGAGCGTGAAGAGGGAACGGCCAGAGGGGACAGTGGTGGTGGTGGTGGTGGGCGTGAGGAGAAAGAAGGCGAGGCGAGGCCACTGGATGCAGCAGTGGTGGACTGTGCGGCAGAGGGGGCGGGGCTGGCTGCTGTGCTGCAAGGCAAGGGTGTGGAGGTGCTGCCAGGGCCCAGGCAGACAATAGGGCTGATGGGCCGGAGGGAGAAGGGGGAACGAGAGGTGGGTACGTGAGTACGAGGTGATGTGTGTGCAGTGGGTGGGTCGAATAGAGGGAAACGCTCATGTGGTGAACTTTTTTTAAAGCAAGTTTCTTACACCCTTCACACAGCCCTCACCTTTCCCCCGCACTTCTTGTCAGCCTGTGGTGGTGCGGTGTGATGCGGTGGTGATCGGTTCCGGCTGTGGAGGAGCCATTATCGCAGCTCAGCTCGCAGAAGCAGCAGCAGCAGCTGGTGGTGACAATGGTGGGGATGGCAGCGGGCAGCAGAGGAAGGTGGTGGTGCTGGAAGCGGGGGGTTACTTCTTCCGCTCAGACTTGTCTCTCCTCGAAGCTCCCTCCGCCCAGATGTGAGTACTCCCTAATTGCGACTCAGCTAGCAGAAGCAGCAGCAGCGGCTGGTGGTGGTGATGGTCGTGGGGACGGCAGCGGGCGGCAGAGGAAGGTGGTGGTGCTGGAAGCAGGGGGGTACTTCTTCCGCTCGGACCTGTCTCTTCTCGAAGGACGCTCGACTCAGATGTGAGTTCCCCCTTTCCTTCCTTTGCTTTCATTCCCTTCCACTTTCTTACATCTTCCAATTCTCTCTCCCTCCTTCTTCAGGTCTGGCTCCATGCTCGTCCCCACCTGGTACGACGCACAGGGAATGGCGGAGGCTGCTGGCAGGGAAATTCTTGGGTCAAGTCGTCGCCATTGCTTCCTCTTTCCACTCCCCTGTGCACGATCCTCCCTTTTCAACCTCCCTGTGCACGATCCTCCCTTTTCAACCTCCCTGTGCACGATCCTCCCTTTTCAACCTCCCTGTGCACGATCCTCCCTTTTCAACCTCCCTGTGCACGATCCTCCCTTTTCAACCTCCCTGTGCACGATCCTCCCCACCAGGTGCGACACGCAAGGCTTTCTCACCACCGAGGATGGGGGGATTGCACTGCTGGCAGGGAGAACAGTGGGTGGCGGCAGCGCTGTCAACTGGTCTGCATCCTTCCGCACACCGCCCCATGTCACCAAGGAGTGGGCCAGCGAGTATGGGCTCAAGGTGAGGTTGCTCTGTGCCTGAGGGGAGGGAGTGTGTTTTTCTTAATCAGAGTGGTGTGTTTGCGACTAGTCAGCAAGCAGGGAGGGCAGTGGGTGGCGGCAGCGCTGTCAACTGGTCTGCATCCTTCCGCACGCCGCCCCATGTCACCAAGGAGTGGGCCAGCGAGTATGGGCTCAAGGTGAGAAGGCGTGGGATTGTCGAGATGCGGATGAGCATTTGAGTGCAATTTTTTCTTTCGTATAAACCGTTCTTTTTTCATGGATGGTGTGACGTAGAACGCTCTGTGATCCCGTGCCACCATGTCACACATATATTGTATGCCATGTGAATCACCTCTGCACGCGTACAGGGCTCTCTCTAGTGTCCCTGTCACTCATTTCCCCTCCTCCCGCCTACTCCCCTTCTCGTATCTGTCTCGCACTGCTGGCAGCAATTTGAGTCGCAGGAGTATACAGCAGCCATGGATGCTGTGTGTGAGAAGATTCAGGTGCGTGAAGCGAGATTGAGCCGTGCTCTAGAGCTGCTCATTCATGAGCCGTATGTAAAGCTGTCTTTCTACTCAACGCCTTTTTTCACTACCCTTCCACCCAGGTCAGATCCCATACTTGTTTCCTCCTTCACATGAACCATCGCATGCGTCTCCCCTGCTGCCTCTCCCCCCCACCCAGGTCACAGCGGACGAGTCCCTCACCCCGCACAGCCTGAGCAACGCGGCGCTCAAGGCGGGGTGCGCAGCTCTGCGCTGCCACCATGCCGTCACCCCCCGCAACACCAACCAGCCTCACCCCTGTGAGTAGATACCCATGCCATACCGTCCTGTGAGCCCCGTTCTGCATCCACACATGCATCCCCACCCGCATCCCCACCCGCATCCCCACCCGCATCCCCACATGCATCCCGACATGCATCCCGACATCCATCCCCACATGCATCTCCATAAGTGGCATAGTTTCCAGGGGCTATCCGCACCCAGTGCTCTCAGGCCTCATCTCCCTCGTCCCTCTCCTCGTCCCAACTCTTACTCTCCCCTCTCCACATCCCCCCTCTCGTCGTCTCCCCCTCGGCTATCCACCCCTCCCAGGCGCCTGGTGCACCTTTGGGTGCTGGTCAGGCGAGAAACAGTCGATGCTGGAAACCTGGTTACCAGACGCCGTTACACACGGCGCCCTCATCCTCTCCCGCTGCGCTGCCCTCCGCCTCCTCCTCTCCCCCAACCGCCCTGCCAGCACCACCCCTGGTGCTGCAAGCAGCAGCGCGGCTGCTGGCGTGAGAGAGGAAGCGCGTGGTGGGGGTGGAGGCGAGGGTAGAGCAGCAGGGCGTAAGACAGAGAGTTGTGGTTGAGGCCAACCTGGTCGTTGTGGCGTGTGGCAGGTCGGTGGCGTGTGGCAGGTAGGGTGGCGTGTGGCAGGTAGGGTGGCGTGTGGCAGGTGGGTGGCGTGTGGCAGGTGGGAGCATGCAGCGTCTAGGCCTTTGTTGTTCGGCCACATCCCACGCCCTACTCACCCCATGATCTAGAGTCAGATATGAGAGCGATCAAAGCTTTGAAAAAATGGAAATCTCAAAGGTCACCTCACAAGGGATACTGCTGTCAGCAAGCTCATCAACTGCAGTCGCGTGTTACCTGTTCACTGTGCTGCTACTGCACCCATTCTCCGCTCAACACACCTGCCCTGCCTTACCCCCTTCTTACCGCCCTTACCACACCCCTGCCCCCCCCCACCAGTCTGCACACACCCCCACTGTTACTCGCCAGTGGTCTCACCAACCCCGCCATCGGAGCCTCGCTGCGCCTGCACCCCGTCACCTCAGCCTGGGGCTTCTTCCCCGAGACCTTCCCCTTTGTTTCCCCGTTAACCCCCTCTCTGTCTGCCTCCCTGCTCCCCTTCAACCCCCTTGTCATCCCCTGCCCCCCTCTGCCCCTCCTTGTCCCCCATTCCACCCACTTATTCCCCTTTCCCCTCCCCACACCCCGCCAGCCTCCACACGCCTCCTCTACTGCTCGCCAGTGGTCTCACCAGCCCCGCCATAGGAGCCTCACTGCGCCTGCACCCCGTCACCTCCGCCTGGGGCTTCTTCCCCGAAACCGCCCCCTCCCTGCCGCCCTCGCTGCCCGCGGGCCCGGGCTATCTGGGGCCAATCATGAGTGTCAACTCCAGGGAGACGGCTAACTGGGAGACAAGTGGATATGGTGCCATGATTCAGGTAAGGGTGCAGTATGAATCAGGTCTCATGAAACAGGTCTTATGAATCAGGTCTCATGAATCAGGTCTTATGAATCAGGTCATATGAATCAGGTCTTATGAATCAGGTCATATGAATCAGGTCTTATGAATCAGGTCTTATGAATCAGGTCATACGAATCAGGTCTTATGAATCAGGTCATACGAATCAGGTCTTATGAATCAGGTCATATGAATCAGGTCTTATGAATCAGGTCATATGAATCAGGTCTTATGAATTAGGTCTTATGAATCAGGTCATACGAATCAGGTCTTATGAATCAGGTCATACGAATCAGGTCTTATGAATCAGGTCATACGAATCAGGTCTTATGAATCAGGTCATACGAATCAGGTCTTATGAATCAGGTCATATGATTCAGGTCATATGATTCAGGTCGCACCCTGTATTTCATGTGATGACCCCACAATGTCATCGCATGTCTCCCTTGCTGCAATCTGCACTTTTCCGCCTTCCTCTTCCCCCCGTGTGCCATCCCAGACCCCCACGATGCACCCGGGTCTGCTGGGCTGCGCCATACCCTGGCTGGGCAGCCAGGCCATCAAGCAGTCTGTCGTGCACTTTGCTTCCACTTACCTACCCTTTGTGCTTCTCGCCTTCCTCTGCTCCCTTCTCTCCCTCCAGACCCCCACGATGCACCCGGGTTTGCTAGGCTGCGCCATACCCTGGCTGGGCAGTCAGGCCATCAAGCAGTCAGCAGTGCGCTTCGACCGCATTGCCTCGCTCATCTCCATCGTCAGGGACCGCGGGCGTGGCACTGTGCGCGTGGACGGCAGCGGCCGGCCTGTAGTGACGTACCGGTTGTGCAAGGAGGACCAAAAGAGCATGCAGGTGAGATGTAGGGGAGGGGAGAGTGGGGAAAAGGGGTTGGGGAGGGGAAAGTGTATGAGGGGGGTGGAGGGGGATGTGGGAAGGCTGTGCAGACATGTACATCGACTCCAAAGTCACCCCAGCTGGGCAAGGCGGGTCAGGTTGTGCTAGCAAGTTGTTCATGCAAACAACTGTGGGCTGTCTCCCCGTCTCCCTCTCCTTGTTCCCCATTGCGCTATTCATAATCTGCCACCCGTCACCAGGAGGCCCTGCTGCTGTCGACTTTTGGGTCGACTCAAAACACGTCTCTCCCCGTCTCCCTCTCCTTGTTCCCCGATGCGCTATTCATGACCAGGAGGCCCTGCTGCTGTCGCTGCGCATCCTGAGAGCAGCGGGAGCAATGGAGGTGGGCACGCTTCACCAGTCACTCAAGCCCTTCCGCTGCCTCCTCCCACCACCCGTCGACGCCGATACGGCTGATGCAGCAGCAGATGCAGCCAGTGGCAGGTTGGATGGCACTGATGGTCCAGTGGGGAGGATGGATGGATGGCAACGCACGTCCGATGCAGAGTTTGAGTCGTATTTGAAATCTGTGGTTGCGGCGGGCTTTAAGCTGAATGACTGCACACTGTTCTCTGCGCACCAGACTGGCAGATGCCCCATGGGTATTTCCCCTAAGAGCTCTGTTGTGGATGAGAATGGGGAGAGTTGGGAATCGTCTGGGTTGTTTTTGGGAGATGGTAGTGTTTTTCCGACGCCTGTGGGAGTTAATCCGATGGTGTCTATTGAGTCAGTGGCGTTCATGATTGGAAAAAGGCTAGCGGATAGATTTAGGGATGGGGAATTTAGTCGTGAGTGAAACAGACCATGTCACACTGCTTTGAGTGGAGATGGAAGAAGTTGAGAATTGTAATGTTTTAGAAGCTATTGCACTACTGGATGAGCCTATAGCGAGCTGACGGACCCACACCCATCACCTGTTGATGCTTTACCGCAAGTGTGCTTGCTGAGGAAGGTCTGATTTGGACGTATGTGTGGTGGGGTGCCTGCCTGGTGGCTGGCTGGATGAATGAACTTGGCCCGGCTAGGCATCCCCACTGTACACTTTTTCCATCAACGGTCTGTGGCTGTTTGTCTCGTATTGCCAGAGTTCGGTGCAATACGGTTCAGAAAGTTGTTTCCTGGATTTTTAAGTTCAGTGGATACTTTTCCGCATCAGTTGGAGCAACCAGGTTGCTTGCTTACAAAACGTTCCAGCTGTAGGTGCATGCACTTGTATTTGTCAAATCATAAATGCCAGCTGGTTGCAGCTTTTGGTGTGTTTCGTTCCTCCGCATAGTGCTTGACCTGCAAGTGGCACCAATCGGAGGTTCGGAAAATGCGGAACGGTTAGGTCAGGTGTGCATCGCGGGTTACGGTCAAGTTCATTTCACACGTTCTGTACGAAATTGAGTCGTCGTCACGTCACGCTACTGTAGGAATACTCTCTCAAGTCTCGCCCCGCGTCATTCGACTCCCCCAAGCCGTCCGTCAAGTAAGCCGCCAACATGGTGTTCGCCAGCAGCCCAAATGAGTGACCGACTGGCGACTCCGACCTTCGTGAGAGCCTCGGAGAACATGTGTACAGTACAGAACGGTGCTGTAGTCGCTGATCTGACCAAACAATCTGGTATGGTACGGACTTGGCGGTCTGGTACGGATTGTGTCAGACGAGACAGCCCGGTTCGGCTTTTTATCGGCTGACTCAGCAAGGTCACCGAGCAGAACCATGCAGCACCACGCACGCCTCGAGCAATTCTTTCCTCCTCGAGTTGTTTGGAAGTTCTTCCGCCCATACATGGTTGAGAATCGCGAGCGAGCTAAAAATGTTTACTTCTTTTTCCCCACAGCTCCAACGTCCTCGTACCATCTCGGCTTTTCTCTCAGAACTCGTTCTTCAGTTCCTAAGCCCTGTCACGTGACGCCTTCTGTTATTCGTCGAAAGTGATGGCGTTTGCCGTCGCACAGCCCGCGTCCGCAGATCCCGTCATCGTTCTTCTTCCCGATGGCTCCATTCGTTTGTATCACGAGCAGCACATGCAAGTCAGGGACGTCCTTAGAGAGTTTCCCCACCACGGCCTCGCGTCGCTGAATCACATCGCAGCGTCGGGCGCGGGGGCACCGCCAGCTTCTGCTTCTTCTGGCTATTGCTACGCGACGTCGCGACAATCACAACCGCCAAATGCGGCGCCTCTTCCGCCGGAGCGTTTTTTGCGGCCTGGAGGAACCTATTGCTTGGTGGAGTATCCAGTCTTGGCTGCACACGATGCTATCTCGGTTAACCACGCGCGCCGGCCGCATGATTTGGCGTCATGTGCGGCGGAATGCACGGCGAGCGATGCGGACAGCAGGATTGACGACTCAGAGTCGCCATCGGGAGACGCGGCCGTCGTAAGCTGCTTCACGCCGCGTGCGTCCCGCGCCTCGACCCGCCAACGCGCTGCGGTCGCAACGACAGGCGGCGGATCCGGCTTGGAGCGCGCGGCGTCCATGCCCCCCATACACCAATCGCTGCGCGCCGCGCTGATGATGCCGACAACGCCGCGAAAGCCTACTACACCTGTTGCCGCCAGCGGCGCTGCCGCGTTGCCACCATCGCCTGGCGCCGCCGCGACAACAACCGTGCGTCCCCTTGGGCGGACTACCAGCGGAACGATGCCGCCCACTGCGCCAACCTTCCCCAACTCCGTCTCGCTGCGCGCGCCGTCCTCCGCCGCTACCGCCCTCATCTCCCAGCGCGCGCCACCGGCCTCAGCGTCCGCCCTCATATCCCCGCGCGCACCCCCTGCCTCCGCTTCGTCGCTCATCTCCCCCCGCGCGATTCTCTCGAGCGGTTCGCGGAAGCTTGCGCGCGCCTTGACCGCTCTCCCCCGCCCGCGTAGGTCGGGGACTTTAGCAGCCCGCGAGCGCGACGGGACAGAAAGGAGCCCCGTCCCGCGAGACGTCAGCAATCACGGCGCGCCAGGCCCGTGGTCGCTGATGGACCTCGTCTCGCCAAAAGGCCGAGCCGCGAGCGCGTCGCGTGCCGCACAGCAGCTTGGTGATAATATGATTTCCGCAGAAGATATGTACTCCTGGGAAAACGCGATTCGGGATCTCAAAATCTCCCGTGGTGAGCGTGACGAGGAGGGGGAGGCGGAGAGTAACGAAAGGCAGCGAAACGGGAGTGTTCGTTACGGCAGTGGGCGAAATGAGGCGAGGCAGACGAACTGGTCGGGAGGGCTGACACCCAGAGGCCTCCCGCTGCTGTCGCCCGTGGAGACCGCAGCTGAGAGCGGCGAGGGCGCGCAGCAGCAAGGGCGGATGGCTGCAGATTCAGTGCAGTCAACGGGGTCAACGGGGTCAACGGGGTCAACGGGGTCAACGGGTTTGTACATGTCCAGAGTGTCCAGTCAGGGCAGTCTTGGCATGGCTCGGAGCAGCTCTGAGAGCTCTGAGAGCAGCTGCAGCGGCGGCGGAGGCAGCAGTTGGAGAGGGTATGCAAGCAGGAGCAGCGTTGCTGAGAGCAGCAGCGGCAGTATCAGCGCCAGCACCAATGACAGCAGCAGCGTCAGCAGCAGCACCAAGGGTCGGCTGCAGGCAGCGTCTCACCGCCTCTCTCTTTTCAAGTCCCTCCGCCTGCATGTAGCCCGCCCCTCCGCTGCTGCTGTCCTTGGCACACATGCTGCTGATAAAGCAGCAGCAGTGGAAGGAACCCATGCTGATGGCCTAAACAGAAATATGCCGAGTCCTACGGATGCTGGCTTGAGCTCCAGCGCAGCAAAGCTTGCATGTGCGGCAGGACTGGGTTACGGGGGCGGTGAGGAGATCTATCTTGGAGCTTCAGCGCCTTGTGTCGCTGCCTCTTCTGATTCCTCCAGCAACGACCTGACGCAGATGAAGGACTGGTTCTCCCGTAACGTGGCCTCGGCTCCTAATACTCCACTTCCTGTGCTGCCTCGAGATGCCCCTACACCCAAGTTAATGAATAATCGTGGTTTTCTTGCTGCTGCTTCAGGAAGCACACCGCCAGGTCCTACCATGAGGAGGATGCACGGCGTAAATGCTTCTAATTACGTTGTTCAGCCCTTTCCAGCGACGCCTCTACATGCTATCTCATAGTAGTAATGTGGTAGTGTCAGTTTCTAGTGTTCGTTCTTGTTTATTGTTTATGTTGTTTCATTTATCAATAGTGTTCTTGCTTGTCTTCCTCATTCAGCTTCTTGGACATTGTTTGTGCATAATATTCAGCAGGCACCGCATAACTGTATATCTCCTAGCTCAGGTGTACCGTATTTCATTTTCAGCACGCTTTCTTTCCATCATCCACCAGCCTCGCCTCCCTGTCCTGAAATCAAGCGCGCCTCGGAGGCCCAAAATTGGTCTGTGCGAGCCGCGCGAGTTGCAGGCCGTCCAGCTTCCCTCGCAACGCAAATCTCTCGCGCACACTCGCAGCAGACTTCTCCCGCCTGTCGGTGCGAACAAATTTGAGACCTGGGCTGGCAAACGGCGAAGCAGTGAGGGAGGGGAGGAGAGGAGGAACATCGAGAAAGGAAGCAAGTGAAGGCACGGCGACTGTTGGAATGGAAGTGGCACCATAACTCAAGCTGATACAAGTTGTGGAGTTGGATGACGGCGCAGGGCTAGCGCGAGAAAACTGCCTTTCTCCCTGCTTCGTGAATTATGGTAGTGGAGTGAGGTCTGATGTCAGTTCGTGCTGTTGCGCCTGCTGAACTCTCGTCACGGCTCGCAGCGTAGAGGTGCTTCGTGACATTTCCGACCGACTAGACCGGCCCCTCTGAGCTTGCGAGTGCCACCGATCCCATCCTTCCTCCACGTTCAGTAGTAAACTCCTCGCCCCGTCGTAGGCCGCTAGATAGCGTGGCTCTTTCGTCGATTGATTTTGCCAGCCTATCGCACCTTCGATTTCCATAGAAGTTTCCGAAGGTGTATTTTTTCATATATTTTCTCCTCACCAAGTCGCTTGCTGCACGCATCGGCAAATCGCTGAAGAAGAAACACCTCTAGCCTCAGGAGACCTCATGCGGCGCGGCACGGATCTCTCGACAAAGCGAAGCGTAGTACGAACAGAAACCGGGAGTTCGGCGAGTCGTAGGAACCACGATTGTCAACCAGAAGCCTCGGTAAAGATGGGCTCGATACCGCTAGAAAGACACAGCTCGTCATGCTCGGAACTCAACCCGCAGTTCTATCGAGATACACAAGTATTAGGTGCGAACCGCCGTCCATGCTCACTACCAAGCCGCGCGAGACGGCAACAACGGCTCGCCCTCTCTTCCCTCGCGTCCTCCTTCCCACTCGCGCTCCTCGCGCTCATGACCGTTGCGATTGCGCCGAGCAGAGCGGCGGGGTTGGTGGCGGGCGTGGTGTCGCGAACCAACATGACTATCCTCCTCAACGGCGTGCCGGTGGTGCCCAACATGGTCGTCGCAAAGGACGGATCCGGCGACTTCACCACTATCCAGGTGCGTGCGACACGTGCGAAACGTGCGACGCGTGCGATGGCGCATGGTCACGAAGCGTGCGATATTTATGATGACCGCGCTCTAGAACTACGTGGGCGATACTGAGTGCTCGTGGGCTTCGCGAGGCGGAGCGCGCCAAGCAGGATACGGTTGGCGGACGAACGGGCGGCAGGTTGAATGGACGCGAGGGAGGAGTCGATTACGTGAGTACAATGTTGCGAGGAAGCAGGGAGACAGGTTGGAGAGGAAGGAGGAGGTAGTGAGACTACTTACCAATTGCCCATTGCAGATCGATTGCTAAACAGGACTGCTGCCTAGGGATAGCCGCATGCTCGTGTGCTACTCGCCAGCACATCGCGCGCGCTATTCTGCTATCACGTGGCGAGTGTCTGGATGGCGTCTGACGTGGCATGGTGGTCGTTTTGTGACGTGGCAGGAGGCGATATACTACGTGCCGCCAGCGTACTTGCCGAACCAAGGGACGAAGATCTTCGTGAAGGCCGGGTGGTACAACGAGACCATCATCATCCGACCGTACATGGTGCGTCACATCAAGAGGGTTATTTTTTAGGATTCTCAAAAGCATCGCTCGCCCGCCGCGAGCATCATCCTCGCAGCGCGCACTCCGCACCTCCGCGCGCGACCGCATTGTGGCATGCTCGCCACTCCACCCCCTCCAATGCTCCGCCCAAACCCTTTCACCTCCCCCTCCCGCTTCCCTCTCCCTCTTCCCCTTTCTCCCCGCAGCGCTACCTGGCGCTGATCGGCGATCCCGAGAACGGCGGCAGCACGCTGTCGTGCAACCGCTACAGCGGCATGCTCAACGATAACGGCGACATGCTCTCCACGTGTAAGCACCGCACACTGTCGTGCACCCTAAACTCTAAACCCTGTTGGCACCGCATTGGCTCGCCGTGCCGGCGTGTGCCCTTGAAGCGTGCGACGGCCGAAATCGCCATTGCCCCAATCGATGTCCCCCCGCTGTGACCGTCCCTCTCTACAGTAACGCGCTTTCCTCGCTTTACTCATTTGCCACGCTGCCCCTGCCATCCCTCCCTCTTACAGTGAACACGGGCTGTTTTGTCGTTTTCGCGGACGATTTCACGGCCGTGAATGTCAACTTTGAGAACGCATCGCCGCGGCCGCCGCCCAACAGCTACATCTACCAAGCGGTGGCCGTCAGAGTGACGGCCAACCGCACCGCGTTCTACAACTGCTCCATCAAATCGTTCCAGGTAGGCCCCGCCGCCGCCCTCATCTCCGTCGATGTCAAAGTCATCGTCATCGTCATCGTCATCTTCATACCGTCACCTTCAGAGTAATTGGCGCGAACGCTGGTCAGAGTCCCTCCGTGTGAGCCGCACCGCCGCCACACCCACTCACCCACGCGCTTACCCCCTCCCCTCCTCCGCGTCCGCTTCCCCCTTCCCCTTCCGCCTTCCGCCTGTTTCCGCAGGACACGCTGTACGCGCACAAGGGGTGGCAGTACTACAAAGATTGTGAGTAGCGCAGCGGGGGGAAGCGGGGAGAAAAGGGGTGTGTGAACGCGAGGAGAGGAGTGAGCTGCTCGTTTCCCAAACGACTCGTTGATTTTCACTCATGTCTCATCTCCCACGCTCCCCCACACTCCCTCATGCCGCCTCACGCTCCCCCACACTCCCTCATGCCGCCTCACGCTCCCCCACACTCCCTCATGCCGCCTCACGCTCCCCCACACTCCCTCATGCCGCCTCACGCTCCCCCACACTCCCTCATGCCGCCTCACGCTCCCCCACACTCCCTCATGCCGCCTCACGCTCCCCCACACTCCCTCATGCCGCCTCACGCTCCCCCACACTCCCTCATGCCGCCTCACGCTCCCCCACACTCCCTCATGCCGCCTCACGCTCCCCCACACTCCCTCATGCCGCCTCACGCTCCCCCACACTCCCCTCCCCCGCCTCCACATTCCAGGCTACATCTTTGGGACGGTGGATTTTATTTTCGGGCAGGCGAAGGCGCGGTTCGAGTCGTGCGTGCTGCAGATGTCGAGCTACGGGTTCGCGTCGGTGACGGCGCAGAAGCGCGACATTAAGGACGACGATAACTGCTTCGTCATGGTGCAGAACCGCATCATCGGGCAACAACCCATCATCGCGCAGGTGGGTGTTCGTGTTGAAATGAGGGGAGTAACGGATGGGGGAAATCGAGGGGGGGGGAGAGGAGGGGAGCGCAGGAGTGCGACATCAAGGACGACGATAACTGCTTCGTTATGGTGCAGAACCGGCCAGCAATCCAGAAATGAGGGCAGTTGCATATGGGGGGGAGTGGGGGGGGGGAAAGCATAGTAGAGGGACAACAACCTGTCACCGCTCAGGTGCGTTTGTGTTCAAATGAGCGGAGTAGCCGGTGGGGGGGGAGCGGGGATAGGGAGGCATCAAACGACGGCACGTGCGTTGTAATGAAAAGAGGCATGAAGAAGGATGATGATTGGTTAGTGATGGTGATGGGCAGAGCAGTGTCATGGGCCAACAGTCCATCGTCGTGCACGTGACATGGGTAAGGGGTGGCCGGGGGAGCGGGCAAGAGGGGAGGAAAGCGGGACAAGAAGTAGGCTGAGGATTGGCTGGTGTATGGTGATGGAGGAGCGTCATTGGCCAGCAGCAGCCCACCATTCGTGCAGGCGATGACACCATTCATCAATAACACCATTCGTGCAGTCTATGACGACTGTAGGACCCATGGCCGCAGGACCTGATGTATTCTCCTTGTGCTTTCGTGTGTGTGTGCCCGTTTGGTGTGTGCAGGGGTGGCTGGGGCGGTCATGGGGTCAGTACGCGTGCACCATCTTCGCACACTCGTACATGGACGAAATCATCAACGCTGATGGTGAGACTGCTGAGAATACACACACTCACTCCTACTGGAAAGAAACTGACTTTCTGGCACCTGGAGTGGTGTAGGTGACATAGTGGTAAATGCAGTGTGTATGTGCGATGGCATGAAAGAACGCCGACACCACACATGTCAAGAACAAGATGAGGTGGGGGAGCAATGCTCGCACTCCACCACACATGTCTTGAACAACATGATCACCTCCCTCGCTGAGCTCTCTCTATACCTGAAATGCAGGGAGTGGGCGATGTTCCATGCCGAGTGCAAGAACAACCCCCGCCTCTCCCATCACCTCCCTCCAACATCTCTCCCTCTACCTTCTCTCACTTATTCCCCACCCCCTTCATGCTGCTTCCCCCCAGCATGGAACAATTTCTACGTGCGGTCACGGGAGTGGACGACGTTTTACGCGGAGTACAACAACACGGGCATCGGGGCCAACCTGGACGGGCGCGTGCTGTGGCTCAAGACCATGACGCCCGCCAGCCGCAGATACTTCCTCAACAAGGCCTGGATCGGCCTCGACTCGTGGTTCCACCCCTTCCCCCAGATGATGTGAAATGCCAATGCCGGTTAACAGATTATTACGGTATATACAGATCTCGGTCAATGTGTTACATAGTTGGCCAGCTTCCTGTTACCGTACACGTTCTACCTGACACCCTGCCACACCGGACCGTTGGTGATGCACAGCATACTCACAAGGCAGGGTAGCTAGGTTCCTGCAACCAGCCATGTATTGAACACTCCCTAATTAATAATGTGGCGTCTTGCCACATGTGCATTCGTTAAGTCAGAGATCATAATGCCACCACACCATGAAGCTAGCGGTGCAACCATAGCATAGCATGGCCATGTTGCGTGAGCTTGGCATATACAGTACCTAGGTAGTGCAAATAGATGCGCTGTTAGTTTATGGCAAAAATTAGGCATCAGCTTGAACATGAACACAGCAGTTGGCCACATATGTGATGTGGGAAGGAATACTGTCAAGGCTGACGCTGGACCATGCTGCCTTGCTGCCCTAGTGTGCCCATGCATCCTGCCTGCTCCATATCATTGCTCCTGCTGCTGCTCACCACCGCCAGCACCCCCATCGTCCTCGCGCCGGTACAGCTGCTCCAGCTGCTCCTTCAATGATCCCTTGTCCCCTGCCTTTCCCCCCTTCAACCCCCCCATCCCCATGCCCTTCATCTTCCCTTTCCCCACCCCAAACCCATCCAGCCCTTGCCCTTGCCCGCCCCCTGCCACTTGCCCCTTGCTGCCGCCGCCCCCAATTCCCCATTCGTCTGCCCCGCAGGCACATTCCTTCACGTTAAGGTTCGCCCCGCACCCGAGGCACATGCCTCGGCACCCGGGGCTGCACCGGACCTTGAGAGGGATCTCCAGGTGCACCGTGTCGCGCACGTACTTAGAGACGTCTATAATCCGCTGGTCCGGGGGGAAGTAGAGCTTATCGTCTAGGTCTAGGTCCAGCATGTCGCCCTCGTCGCCATCGTCATAGTCGGCAGGGAGTGAGTTAAAGCTGGAGGAAGGGGCATCGAGGATGACCCCTAGGCTGCGCTTGGTGGGCTCGTGGAGGGGTGAGGCGGAGAGTAGCAGGCTGAACTCGCTATAGATGGGCTCGGTAACGGGGCATAAGCACCTGGCGAGGACGGGAGAAGGGGTTGGGGTTTGCGGATTCGGGTAGAGGAGAGAACGAGGAGTGAGGGATGGGGCGGGATAGGGGAGTAAGGGAGAGCAGGACATTTGAAGGGAACTCCTGTTATAAGCTCACCTGTGGCACTGCATGGCGAACACTGTCTGCGCAGTGCCGTCCAGCCTTATATCGCGTCCCACTTTAGAAGAACGCATGCGCACTACCACAGCTGTACCCTCCGCCTCCCCCTCTCCATCGGCTCCCGTGCGCTCATCTTGCGGGATTTCCGCCATCAGTGTCTCCGCGGCCTGCGCACGGGACGCCGCGGAGGAGAGATGCGGAAGCGCGAGGCGCTCCAAGGAAGTGACGAAAACAAATTCCTGACGAGCCGCGCTGCGACGGTAGACCACGGCGCCGAGCCAAGGCTCGCCCTCCTCCAAAGCAGCAAGGTCCGCTGCCGACCTTCCAGGTTCGGATCTGTTCGAAGCCTCGGCTCGAGTGACTAGCCGATTCGACCTCGTGTTTGTTGAAAATTGAAGATAATCAATGCTAACTGTCGATCGAAAGCTTCTAGGTTTGAAAGGAACGCGATGCCTTTTCGCATCAGCGTGCTCAGAACTGTTGGAGGAGCGGCCGCGTGATAACGGCAACGGCACACAAGGAACAAGTCTATCTTGGACGATAGGTGGACTGACAGCAAATGCTAACGACCCCATGCCGCGGCGCCTGAGACGAACGATGATGACCAGGCGTGGTAGGGCGGTGCTGTGGTGTAAAACGAGGAACCGCAACGCGCAATTGTTAGAAATAGTCTAATGCGAAGGCTTTTTAGAAGAAAAAGTTTGCTAAGTGGGATGGGAAGGAAGTGCCACCACTTTGCGAACAAGCCTACCTTCTCCTGGTTACCCTTCGCTGTCGTTAACTTTCGTTTGCTTTGGAAGTATATCCGTTCTGCTGATCACCAAAATTAAACCCGCAAACGAGATTCACCGTCCGTACCGTACTGGTCTGATTGGCTTGACCACTGACCGACCGTCAAAATCTGTCTCTACAGTGACTACTACCGAAAACTCGACGACACCTGTCCACCCTGCGCATCTACAAAACACCCGTGAGAATTTGAGACCGCTCCTCCACCGTCCCGCACCTGACTCCATCACATCAACAATGCAGTCCCAAGAATACTGTAGCGCCGTACAGTAGTTTCTGCGTCGTGTGTGAGCTGGAGTGCCTTGGGATGGAGTGGTCTGCAGTGCGGTGGAGTAATTTTAGTGGGTATGGAGGAGAACCTCGACCGACAGCTGTTGCGCTTGTTGGTCGAGTTGAGTGTCAGGTCAGGCAAGTCACCTTGGGATTGGAAAGGCAGGAAGGAATCCGGCTATGTGCAAGCATCAGCCTCCAGCCTCCAGCCTCCAGCCTTCTCGCATTATCTTTCTTTCTTTCTTTCTGCATCTCTCATTTCAAGGCTGCTCCCCTCCACCACCTTTTTTGCCTTCTCATCGTCGCCCCAGCCCGCCATCGCTAGATGTAAGGAATCGCAGGTTTGCGAAGCATAAGTAGGATCCACGTGGAAAAATAAGTACGGAGAGATTGATTAAACTGTTACGGCTCGTGACCTACTGAAATTACGGGCCTACCTGAGAGGATCCTTACGACCGATGGATGAAGGTGCGACCCACGAATCCGTGGTAGCCCAATCTGCGTCTCCAGCCATGGAGTTGTCACCAAAGGCCAAAGCAGCCGACAATAAGGTATATAAGAAAGAAAATTCGCTCAATGATCGCGTCGCAACGATGACGAAGCAACTAGTATCGAAGACAGCGGTCTTAGGCGAGGAAATGGCGTCGAGAACGAAGGCCGTGGGTGTAGAATTCGTGACCAGATCTGAAGCGATGCGGGAAACGCTGAGAGGAACGGCTGCGGTAGTCTCGGGCGAGATCAAGGGAAAAACAGCGAACCTTGCGGGGGAGATGGTGTCGAAGACAGCGAATATCGCGGGGGAGATGGTGTCGAAAACGACGCAATTCAAGGAAGCCCTGAAGACCTCGCTCACCTCTCTAGGGAGCCGTCCGCAAGCCACCAGGTAGGTACGCCCAGATTAATCGCAGCCGTTGATCGGTCGTAGCTTCCGGGCAAGCGTAAAAGAACTGATCCGTTGGGAATGTCCCGCATTGCCTGAGATCGTGCAAATGCATATTTACTTGGTCGAGATGTTTTCTTTTCATTGCTCATAGCGCAAAGTATCTCTGTTCTGCGTCAGGCTTAGCTCTGGCTTGAGCTTATGCTGTGAGCTCCAGCACTGGTTTTCAGCTGATGCTGCAGCAGATTAACATTGCTCTCGTTTCCGCATCCCTTTTCCCGTTGCACGTGTACTGCCAATCGCGGTTTTTCAGCACGAAGATTGACGCTGACGTGGCAGAAGACGACTGCACGGAGAGCACCGACGTCTTGGCGCCTCTGCAGAGTCCGTCGAAGCACCGTCAGGCCCGGACGAGCCCCCGGGGCAACGCGTATCCTTCTCTCTGGTCCGACGTTGACCGCTTCCTTCCAAGCGATCTCTCCCCCAGTGATCTTAGCCCCGACGATTCCACCCCACCGCATCCCACCGACACCGATGCCGCTGCTGCTGACCAATCAGAGCCTTTGATCTCACCCGATCAGTTCCCCGTCAGCTTGACGCACCCCAGCACGCAAGTGCCCGAGATGAACGGTCCAGATCATCCCAAGTTGGAGGGTGTTGACAGCGTAGGAGAGGGGTTTGTGGTTCCTCGGTTGGGCCACGAGGAGCACGGGGAGGAGGGCAAGAAGGGGCAGGTGAAGGGTGAGAGTAGGCGCGCGCAAGAGGAGGAGTTCAGCATGAATCTGTGGCTCATGGGGAGCAGCAACGGGGGAAGCAGCACCACGAGCAGCACCGCCGGCTGGTTTCCCGCGAGCAGCTCGCAGACGCAGGTAACTCTTGCTGCCCCGGGCTGCGTGCTCGCCCCGTCCTGGAGCATCAGCGGATTCTCAAACACCCAATCGCAAGGAGATGCGGCGGGGAAGGAAAGGGAGGGGAGGTCGGGAGCGGAGGCTGGGGTAGGAGGGGGTGGTAGGAGCACGGGGGAAGAAGAGGGTGGGGATGACGCAGCAGAAGGGTGGCACCCCACGCCTCCCGCGGTGGTGCAGAGCCCGTTCGGAGTTTCCGCGCACGTAGAGGAGCCAGAACCAGGGCAAGCGGAGGCGTGTGGGGACATGGACCGGGTGTGGGAGGAGCTGTACGTGCAGAGGGAGTGTGAGTCGCAGCCGTCGTCCCCCAAAGAGTCGAGAGGCGCGCTGCCCGCCATCAAGCGCCTGCTGGTCGTGCGCAGGGAGTCAGTGCAGCGCTCAGACAGCCGTGACAGCGTGGCCAGCACTGACAGCCGCGGCAGCATCTCGCGCCACGCCACCGTCGGAAGTGAAGGCTGGCAGCAGCTGGAGATTGGGGGTGCGGAGGGAGACGTGCGGCGACGGCGGCGACGGCGGAGGCGGCATTCGATGGACTCGATCCACCTGGAGGCGGCGGGGTTGAAGCAGAGAGCAGCGAGCGAGCTCGCCATGCACCGCTCGCCACCGTCGCCGTTAAGCCCGTCCTCTCAAGGCCCCTCCCTGCGCGTTGCAGAGGGCGCCCATGCAGGGTGGCAGGAGCAGCCGGGTGTGAGGAGTGGAAGGCCGATTCCAGTGGCTCGTCCCGTCCCGGCGCCGCTACAGCCGCCCTCTCCTCGCCTGCCGGCGGTGCGATCTTCTCCGCTCATGAGCTACGAGCACCCAGATCTATACTCTCAGTCAATACAGTCGCCTCGGTCAAGGCTGTCGCCTCAGTCGAAGCAGTCTCCTCGGTCACGGCAGTCCCCTCAGTCGAGCAATCCTCCGCAATGGAAGCAGTCCCCTCCGCTAAAGCAGTTCCCACCATCAGTGCAGATGCCTCAGCCAATGCAGTCCCCTCGGTTAATGCAGTCTCCTCAGTCGAGGCAGTCATCTCAGCCGAGGCAGTCGCCTCCGTCAATACAGCTGCCTGAGCCAAGGGACGCCTCTCACTCAATGCGGTCGCTGCAGTCAAAGCATTCGCCCCGATCAATGCAATCGCCTAAGCCAAGCCAGGACCCTCACTCAATCAACTCGCCTCAGACAAGAGAGTCGCCCCATTCAAGAAAGTTCACGCATTCACTCTCCCCGCCACCAGAGCAACAGGCATCACTTTCTAGGGGCTTTTCTGGCCTCACACACGCCAAGCCATCGTCACCCAAGGCCGCCAGTCCACGCAGAGTGATTGGCAAGTGCTACGGCCTCCCACATACCACCTCTGACCTGACAAATGCGTCCTATTTTGTCTCTTCTGATGCCGGCCACGCTCACCCTGGCTCCAGTGCATCGCCCCGCCGCCGTGCTGCTGTCCCAATCCATGCCCCGAAGCTACAGCAGTGCATGACAGGCGCACTACCGGGCCATGAGGGGCAGGAGGAGGAGAAGGCGTGCATGCGTGTTCTGTCTGGGGATGGCTCGTGTGTGAGTGAAACCGGCAGCATGCGCATCTACCATGTCCCTTCTAAACCCATGGCACCCAGCAGCACCGCTCCTGATCGTTCCAGCCTGCATCTGAAGCAGCAAAAGTGGCAGCACAGGCCGGCCCTTGACGTGCCCCCCAGTCCTGACGGTGTGTCGCCGCATGCTACTGGCGGCCGAAGGCTGAAATCTGCTCCAGTATCGCCATCTGGTCACCTTGTTTCACCACTGGCCACTCCTGCTGTAATTTCCTGGGACGAGCCATGCCGGATCGACCACAGAGCCTTCGTTAGGCTTTATACGGATGAAGGCGCTGCAAGTAACCGGTCTAGCATGTGGGATATATCACGGGAATGCGGAGGTTCTGAGAGGTTGGGATCCTTTAGTGACAAGAGGAAGCGGCGGGCGCAGAACTTAAAGAAGCTGTTTCCATGGTGGCGTGCTGCACCTCCAGCACAATAGTCTTCAGGGTTTAGAGTTCGTACTGCATCTCTGTGCCCACAAAGCGCCAAAATGTTGAGCTGTGTACCATGTTAGAATGTCCCCCGATCTGTAGGTGACACGTCTGCACAATAGCATATCTAAGAGAGTTATTACCTGGCCTTTGACCAGAGCATGATGCTTTACGACCAAGCATCCATTACTGCTGTACTGTAACCTTAATTGGCGAAATCCATGATTCCGTTCTCGACCATTTGTATTTGAGTCCAAGGTGTAGCGTAGGGAGGTGTACAGCTGGGGGATCAGCTACATTTTGATTCCACCAATTTCACTCGCCGGCGCGGAAAGGTCGAGAAGAACCCACCTTTCAGCCCCACCTTTTCTTGCGACGTTCGCTCATTTTGCGCCTTTTCGTTCCCCTCCCCAACAGCTGGTCCGCCAGTGACTGAACGATGTTCGGCGTGGTCGAGTCGACGATTTCGCTGATCGTCGCACGACCGGACCACGATGTTCTCAAAGAAATCTCCTGCCTAGGTTTGTCAGGGGCAGCTTCGGACCAATCAGCGCAAGAGCTATGAATTTCCAGACTACCTGACCGATTGTTTGGCCGATTGTTGGTTCCTCCACGAAACGCGCACTTCCCTCCAAGTTCCCTCGAAACTCCGCAGCACGGGTGGGCAAGGGCCCTGTTCTGTTGGCGCACAGGCCATTCGCAGCTGCCGCACAGGTACTGCGGACAGCGTTTTCCTCGAAAGAAAGGGAGGGCCTGAATCCTCGTCGAAGGGTTTACTAATCGACAAAAATACGAACTTTTTTCTCCCGTGTGCCCAAAAAAATGTTGTTACACACTGCCCTGGCACTCTTCAAAACTCAAAATTTCGCGAACTGATGCAATGGATGTGGCAGTCTTACTGGTTAGCCGTTGGATTCTTTTTAGGGTTTTTTTGTGAAGGATGCAATGCACTATAAAGTGTGTACATCCACAGTCGTAACTGTGAGGGAGGAAGGGACCAGGAAGACAAGAGAGTCTACGTAGCCCTTCCGTAGCTCTCTAAGGTGGCTGGAAGGCAGTTCTCGGGTTAGCCCAAACAGATCTGAAACCTTCCTTCCACGTCAGCGAGTTCTCATCTTCGAAAATCCGGCTCAGCATTGCAGTCTCGTCCTGTGCCAGATGGAGCCAACACCGTGCCCCACTCCGCCCATCACTCTTTGCCACCTGTTTCTTGTAGGCACTGTAGATCCTAACATGCTTCATGAAGTTCACCCCAATTTTCCGAAGCACTCTCTGCGGTTGAAAATTTCCCTGTCGAAAAGCAGCTTCGCAGCGTTCCAGCCAGATCTGATGAAAGGCGACCGCAATCAGCGGCTTTTCCGGAAAGCCTGACGACTTGCCATCCGCCCCAAACAGAAAGTCCTCGAAAACAAGACCCCAAAACAATACCCCAAAACGGGCGTTTCTATCTGCCCGTTATTTGTTGTGCGTCTCTTCATTCCCCCCTCGACGAGCGCATAGGGCTCGCACAGGCCATGCGGGAAAATTGCCAGTGAAACCAAGCTCGTGGAATTTTCTCAGCGCACAGAGAGTTATGCGTTCTTGCGCACGCATGAGTGATGCGTGCACAACTCCCGCACCAGAGGTTCGGGAGACAATTACGATTTGGGAGGCTCGACGTGGGCTTTAAGCCTTGTTATGCGCATTCCGAGAATGTTCAGCGTTGGGGCTGAGCACCCCTTATGCGCCAACAGAACAGGGCCAAGGTGATGGGCAGGCGGTCGGCGGGCAGCGGGCAGCAGGAAACTGCTCCCTGGGTCTGTCTGGGCCAGCAGCAGCTGGCATGTGATGGCGAGAACAAGGCAAGAAAGGACGCTCACTCTCGCTATGGCTGTCGCGGATTGCGCTGATCCGAGTCGAGTCATTCAATAATGGCGGAAGATCTTGTTTTTAATTGCCAATGAGACGGCACACTTGATTCTTGTGCTGCGCTAATAGGTTAGGTGTTTCGTCGTTCTGTGACAAGCAAGAGGCGTTACAGTAGTAGGTAGGCAAAGAGGCCACTTGATTCTTATCTGCAGCATCACTGTAGAGTGACACTCGTACCAGGATGGCCGCTGATTCTCTTCAAGAGCAGTCATCTTTCCGCGGCGCATCCTTCAATGGAGGGTCGATGAGGTACAGCATACAATACAAAGCTTTGACGCACTTTCCGTACTGAATCTGGTTGCTTTGTCTGGCTTGAATGCGTCCCTGTCTAGTTGATAGACTCAAACGGTGCTTCGTGGCTCTCAATCAGCCCGCTCTGCTTTCCTCTCTACTCCTTCCCAAGTTGAACATTTATTTTCTTCTCTCTCTCAATTTCACTCTATCAGGGACCTGTTAAGTGCTGACGCGGGACAAATCAAAGAGGATCGTCCCGCGTCGCGAGGGGATTCTTGCGGGTGCGGAGCTCTCGAGGCGTCGGCGTGCATTTGCAGCACCGGCGCGTCGTCCCCCTCTCCCTCCGCGCGCAAAGGCACGACCAAGCCCAGCAGCAGCTTCCGCTTCTTCGCGTCGCTCAACCGGTCCGTCAGAATCGAGATTCCCGACGACACCCTCCCGCACCTGCCGGTTTCTCAGAGCCTACCGGACCTTCCCGCAGACTCCGCCGCACGCGACCCGAGAAGCACGTTAGAGCTTTTCCACTCGTCGTCGCAGCCGCCGCTATGGCAGCCCAGCTCGCCAGTGGGCGTGCGCAGTCAGTACGCGGAGGCGATTCGGGAGCGCGCGAAGCGCGCAGTGGAGTCGCAGGAGGCGATGGACAGCGCGTGGGAGGACCAGCACGTCGCACAGATCGCACAGAGCACGCCGACGTCGCCGTGTCGGTCGCCCGGCGCCATGAGCATGATGTCGCCCAAGTCGCTCAGGCGAATGCTGCTAGCACCCGTCCTCTCGTCCACATCAGCACGCAAATCCAGCAGCGCAGCGGGCTCGTGCGAGAAGGAGGCGCGGGGGACAGGTTCCGCGCGCGCGAGTGCGCCGAGAGGGGGAGGGTCCGCTAGCGAGCGCGAGAGCGGGCGGCGCACCAGCTCGTTGAAAGGCAGCGTTGAATGTCCCGAGCGCGTGGATTGGTCGGGCGGGCTATCCAGTAGAGACTCTGAGAAAAGGCAGGGCGTTTCTAGCCCTAGGATGGCTCGAAATCTAACGGTAAACGTGAGGCGCGCAAGCGAGAGCACCGCCGGTTGCGCCGACCTTGACTTTTTCTCCTCCGAGTGGGAATTTCCCGCCGCGCAGAGCGTACCGTGCGCGCGCACCGACGCGGCTGCGGACTCCCCCCCGGACTCCCCGCGCGCAGTCTTCGGGAACAGCTGTATGCCTCCGGCCGTCTCCGCTGGTCTCCGCGTCATCTCCTCGCCGCGCTCCCCCTCCCTGCACCTGCCCTCCTTTTCCTCCCTCTCGCATTCTGTAACCTCCTTGTCCCCGCGCTCCCCCTCCCGCCACGTCCCCTCTTCCTCCCTCGCGCTCCCCTCTCCGCGCGCCAAGGGCAAGGCCTCCCCTCCCGCCCTCCGCAGCGCGCACTCGTGCTCGGGCCCTCTCAGCCCGCAGGTTTCGCGGAAGGTTCCTGCGTGGGAGGAGGAGGAGGTAGCGGTGGTGGGGAGGCTGCTGGCAGCAGGTGTGGGGGAGATCGCTGTGCCCGCCGCTGGCGCCAATGGGAGGAACTAGAGGGGGAGGGGGGAGATCGTTGTCTGTGCGCCTGCTGTTCCCGCTGTGCGCGCTGCCGCTGTGCGCGCTGCTGGGAAGAAGTAGGGGTTGGGGGTGAAAGAGAGCGGTGGTGGGCGTGAGGAAGGGCGCTGGTGGGCGTGAGGAAGGGCGTTGGTGGGAGGAAGCAGGGCGGTGGTGGGAGGAAGCAGGGCGGTGGTGGGAGGAAGCAGGGCGGTGGTGGGAATTGGGAGGTTGTGAGATGCAAGGGAGGGAGGGAGTGTGATTTGTGCAGTGGCGGCTGGGGCTGACTGCTAAGCAGGGTGAAGGAACTGCAAGCGTGTGAGATGTGGGAGCGAAGGGGCTCGTGAGACTGGCATGAGAGACGTGAGAGATCGTGGG